TTTTGGCCTAGCTCAATAATATGCTTTATAATTAAGCAAAAACTGTACAGCAAAAACTAAAAGTCCGAGCTTAATTCTGTCTTCACCATTCAAACCAGCTTTAAAAATAAGTCGACACGTATATTTTCATTTTTAAAAAATGGTATGTATTTTCAGTTTATTAGACAATAAGTTCCCAATGATTTTCTATGGAAATATTAGTCTGTAAAGACATCAATTTAAAAAATATACCAAGACAGTTAAATATGACTTTATATATACCAAAATACTTGATCATTATCTAGCTTCAACATGTTGAAGTCAGATTTGAAATATGTACACCCAGTCAGTTTTTATTTGCATTTTACGCATACCAGTTTCGGTTGAATGTAGCCGTATGTATCATTCACTGTGTATGTTATTAGTGTAACAAATTTTATAACAATTATTACAAACAGATACTTTTTGCAAAAGTATCATTTAAAGTGTGGGATTGTTTGTTGGGATCAGTTTAAGTGACGACAGTGTCTGGTCTTAAGGAAGAATTGGTGATCGGAATCATAGGAATCATAGGATTTGGAATGAGATCTAAAGGGAATGGGAGGTCAGATATGGTGTAACACTATTTCTATAGGATTTGATTTAAGGGATATTTGACCGCAACTGTTGCACAACTATTCTGTATTTTAAAGTATAATGAAAATAATTACAATATACTCTAAACCTATCATTTCAATTAATTAATACAGTAAAGTATATTCACACAATTAAGCGATTGAAAAATTAATATAATTTATTAATTGTTGTGTATTCTTATTGAACAATAAAATCGATGTTTTTATGAAAACACAGAGTTTGGTCTCTTATATCGATATAATTATATCGTAATTAAAATTTGAATTTTTCTGAATTGTTTGCGTTTCCAAAAGAACTTACGTTTAAATTAATACAAATTAATTACTGATTCTGTATAACGAAAAATGAGTGTCGGTTTAGTGGGAGGGGGAGAGAAGGGAGAGAGAAAACAGCTAAATATAAGTAATATTTTGAATCATTCGAGAGATTTAATGCCAAAAATAAAAAACAAAACAAAATCCTTAAAAACATTTAAACATTTAGTTTTAAGACACAAGTAATCGGAGGAAAGACTTAAATGATAAATATGTTCACTGATTGTTAGAATGGGGTTAAGAAAAAGGACAAATTGAAAGAATAATAATAATAAATAAAATAGTAGTCATTTAAATGAATTAAATTGTCGATCATTTTGTGGGAGTAAAATCATGGTTTGATCATGATCAAGTTATTTCCAATTCATTTTCTTGGGTAGAGTACTGCCTATCTGTTGCAGGCATTCAGAGGCACAATAGATGGCACATTTGAAAGACATTTCTAATGGTCTGCCGCTGATATACATCGCTAGGAATCCTCCGGTGAACGCATCGCCCGCCTTATAATCATCATTATATAGACATTGGTTACTGTATTGAATTTACGCGTAAAGTGATTATACAAACCCCGTTAGTGTCCTTAATCTGTTCGGGTTTGAATTGAATGACGGGATATTCAATCACTTCATTTGAGTCACTCTTGGCGTAGAGGACAGGCTTATCGCTTTGGGTGATCACAACCACTCGACCCGACTTATAAGCGCTGGGAATTTTGGGGCTGTCGTACTTGATCTTTGGTTCCCGAGCTATCAGTTTTGCCACTTCTTTCAAATCTTTCGTCTATATTATTAACAAATCTTAATCAATGCAAACATAGTGTTTGGAAGTAAATTATGTGTAAAAACTATAATAATTCAATCGTATAGTAATTGTAATAATTAGACCGGAGTTTGATTTAACAAATTGTGTGAAATGTTTTCGTGTGTCAACTCTAATGGAGTGAAATGATAAACCTTTGCTATTAATACGGTTTATGTTTGTCTGACAAACGCTATGATTAACTCAAAGGCAGAATTTTCACAGAATCATAGAATTTTTGTTTGCATTCAAATACTTACCCCAAATATGTTTAAAAATAGTCACTCAAAACATGGATCTTATATAAGATGTAATTTTTAGCTGATGTGTTAAGTAACATGACTTACGGGATAGCCTTTCATTGTGGCAAAAGCTGTCGCCTCATCCGCATTGGCGAAGAAGAAGTCGATGTATGGCAACAAATCGTTGAGAGTGTTGGAGCACTTGTGGCTCACATATGGGGCCGCTATTCAACATCAATTAATTTATGAGATTATAATTAAAAATTTTAACTTTACATTATTATTATTTCTCAAATTAAATTATTTATGAAATTAAGTAAATTTATACCCAAATTAAAAAAGAAGTCTTTTCCCCATTCGTGAGCGTGTTTTGCCAAATGCATGACACTATCGGCCGATACTATAATAACAATTTTATAATAATTTTATAATAAATTTAATAAAAATTTTAAAATAAGATGTCCTGTCGTATCATTTATATAAACTCAATATAAATGTATTTTTAAAATATTCTATTTTAGGGACATTTTCATGTATTAAATATGAACCAAAATTTTAACCAAAGAATAACATTTGATGAGAGGGACAGATAAAGGATACGGCGATATCTTTAATGTAAAAACTAATCAAATCAAACTATCTATCAATCAGTTATATAAATAGGCTTTGACTATAAGTTTATATAACATTTTGATAACTTTCAAAATAAGTCTCTCTCTCTCTCTCTCTCTCTCTCTCTCTCTTTGTATTTCAAAATTGAATTAAATAAAAATATATTTTATGATTTATAGATATACAAATATAATAAGTCATACTACAGTAATAAATGTTTTAGTTAAAAAATTATACTAAATATAATGTAATTTACACAAATAATTCAAAACAAAATAAATTCTTGTTAATAGACTTAAGATATTCCTTATAGTCGTGGGAATGATAAAAGTATAGTGTTTTATATTTATAGAACTAAATATTAGTTGCCTTAAATTCAGATTAAATGGTTTAGATTAAAAATGATCATAGTAGTTAGTATAATTGTAATCATGAAATGATGTTGGTGTCAGACCTGGAAGCATGTGTCCACTGGTGTAGATGACTCTCGCCTTCTCCACAAACATGAAATTGGATAATAAGAAGTGTTTGTCAAACAATTCACTCGCACCTAAAAATAGCAAACATAAGCTTAAGTTTGTTTCAATTTGTCTTCCGATACGTTTAAGAGATAGGAGACGAAGAAAAAATACTTTT